GAGTATCTATCTATCTATCTATCTATCTATCTATCTATCTATCTATCTGCCCCAGTTCCAGTCTTTCTATCGCTGTTTCTCTGTCACTTCAAATTTCCCCTATCTTTCTGTCATTGTATTTATCTAATATCTGGTTATCTTGTTATCTATCAATCAAGTTATCCCCCTCTGCCCTTTCTCTTGCTGTTTCCTCTTCAATTATCTTTCTCTCCCTTTCTCTGTCTCAATTTTTTGGCAATTTCCTCGTTAATTTTTCCTCTGAAACCAGGCAACCGCCACTTCCTTCAATCGCTAATATCTCGACTCCTATTCAAGATACTGATATTGTTTCTTTGAAAGCAAGGCAAATTAACAAACTTTAAGATGATACAAATAACTAAACATGCCAAAAAACTGGTAAGTGCCGAGACACGTATTCTGTTCGACTAACTGCAGACCAAAAGCAATGGTTGTGGCGCAGGTCTTATTTGTTTCGCCACCGTATACGTAATAAGTTTCTTGTTTTAGAGCGCAGGGTTATCTATTGAATATCTCCCCCTGTCTGATAGGACATTGCATCCTTCTCAGCCCTGACTGAACTTGATAGGCAGGGTCAAAGCGCGTTAATCTTGATTAAATTATGACAATAGGGGGTGAAAAACGTCACCTTTGTAATGATAAAATTCATTTATTCAAACATCTTCAAACGTAAATCACCCCAAAATGTTGGTCCATGCTGTTCATTACGAATACAGTAAAACTTAAATTATACATAATGTGTGTCGAGCAGGAAACGAAAAGTAGCACAATATGTTACAAAATAATATTTTGTGAGCGACAGGAAAAGAAAATGTGTATCATCGTGGTGAAACTATGGCAGAAAAAGCCATTGTTCCATCCCGCCCTGTTTTCAAGTACACTCAAGCTTTGGACGCGCTCATATGACCTTATGCAGTTGCGAGGGCCGTAAAAACTCTACTAAGACTAGAACTCAAGCTCTGGAAGTCCCCAAACTTTGGCAGCTATTTCTTTTTAGATAATTTTACCGCTGAACTCAGGAGAACCCGCCCACCTCATTCAATAACACATATCTTGACTTCTGTTCAAGATAGATCAGTAGTATTTCATTCATCAAAAAGCAAGATAAATTAACAAACTTCAAGATGAATACAATAACTCCATACAAAAAAACCCAAAACAAAACAAAATAAGAATTAACGAGGGCCTGACGCCACAGTGTCGTGATACGAGGTTATAGTTCTGGCATGTAAGGTGACAATAATAATCATCACTGAAAAAATCGCTCGGTCTGACTTCCCACTCGCGACCAGAATCCAGTACGACGATCGCCCACGCCAGAAAGTGTGGACATACTACGTAAACACTCGTTAACCCTTTCACTGCCGTGTCCGGTTCCGCATGCGCCTTCTGGTCGCATTATTATAGATCTAACAGCTCTGGTAGTCAAAGGGTTACCCTCACGAAACTCCCCGACTTACGCAAGCGTAGCACATTTCATGCAGATTACACAAGGCGCGCGCTTCATAATCCACAGGTAGAGAGTAGAGATCAGCCAGCTCACAGTTCGTGCTGTATTCCCTCACGGCTGGGCACTGGTCTGGGGAAGAAAAGGATACTAATTAATTGTTTGGTTTATGCGTTTTAGATTCTTCAAAACAGTTCTTATAAATCTAGTTTTGGGGTTGTTGTTTTTATCAAAGAAGGTGGAAAAAATGTAACGAGAAAAAGAATTATGATGTGCTTTACTTTTGTCTTAGTCTTAGGGTCAACCTGCACTTGGCTCAGTTGTTTGTTGTTTGTTTGTTTTTGGGTTTTTTCGGGGGGAGGGGGTTGCTATTGTTGTTGTTGTTGTCGTTGTTATTACTATTATTATGATCATTATTGTTGTTGTTGCCGTTGTTGATGTTGCTGTTCTTATTGTTGCTGATGTTGCTTATATTTTAAGTACTTGCTTTTGTGTCTGTTTGGGGAGGGAGTATCTCGTTCTGGGTTTTTTGTTGCCTTTTAAAAAAAATTTTGTTTGCTCTGTTTTGTTTTGTTTTGTGGGTTTTTTTGTCCCGTAAAAAAGATACGCTGAATGTTTTACGCCCTCATGGACACAATTTAGTTCATAATCTGTTTTCTAGCTTTTTCTTACTTGTATCAGCTGTTTTCTCACAATTCTATTTTTTCACACATTATCTCCTTTTTCTGCTCTGTTTCCTGATCAATTCCAATGTAACTTTCACAGGATACCAACAACACCTAGTTCTAAAATATAATATTATGAAGCTGGCTGCTTCGTTCAAGCGCTAATCCGAGTGGGATACCACGCCCCAGGACACGAGATGCTTGATCTTTCAATAACAACACCCTCTCACGAATGAAACTCACTTTATATATAATATGTGTGTGTGTGTGTGTGTGTGTGTGTGTGTGTGTGTGTGCAACATTGGAGAACATAAGGGTATGTCTCCTTATACAAAAACCATCAAGATTCATCATCATCATCATCCAGTGCCAGATCTGCGACAGACATCGGCGATCATGGTTTTCAATTCATTCCATCAAGATTATTATTTTTAAAAACGTCTACTTCCAAGCGGCGCGACATGACGTCTTACCATGCGCGAAGGTTGCCTGCGATCGGCCCATGAAGCGATCAGATTATTGACGTTGGGACAGGTTTAAGGCTTCACCATTGGTCAAAATACATAGCGAAAGAGTGCCGGTTGACACACTTTGTGTGTGGTGTGTGGTGTGTGATGTGTGGTGTGTGATGTGTGGTGTGTGATGTGTGGTGTGTGATGTGTGATGTGTTGTGTGACGTGTGGTGTGTGGTGTGTGATGTGTGGTGTGTGATGTGTGGTGTGTGATGTGT